ATTAGATTTAAATGAACTTTTGAAACAATCACACACAGATGCTTTTATGTGCTATGTCCAGACCAATGTTTAATAAATGTTTGATGAATGGAAGTAGAGCAAAACACTTTTGATCACTTTAGGTTACAGAACTTTTTTATATCCTTAGATTTACACTTGATATACCAGAGCTGTGAGTAGCACTATTTAACTTCTTAAAATCATAAGTCACATACTTTGCAATAAAACATCACAACATCAACGGCACTCCAGTGTATTTGTTTTTGTTTAATTATTGTTTAATTTGATATTAATTATTTATTTCTATGTTCTGATATTTTTATTAGTGATAGTCTTTGGATATCATACGTACTTTTTTAAGATCATAAGTTTTGTAATTTTATATCTGTAATTTATGTTCCACATTTGTGCACGAGAAACAATTTGAAAGTGTTCTATCTCTAGATTTCTAGCATTCTGTACTTCATTTTGCCTGAAGAGACAGTAATATACTGTCAAAACTACTTGTGAATTAAACATATTTTTCTGTAACACAGTGGACAGTTGTGTGACTTATCTTTTATTATGAAGTCATATAATCCATTTTCATATTAGCTTACACTTTTCTATGCCCTAGTCTAGCTAAATCTGTTTTTATTCTTCCAGGCATGAAAATTCCAGGAAAGAATTAACTATGATTAAGGCCATAAAAGCATTTTTAAAAAATGTATCCATAATACTGATAGATAATCTATTGATAGTTAGAAAACTATCAACAGAGTAAAACCTTCATAGATCAAATTAAACTCCAAACTTACAGCTAAACAAGAGAAAACTAATATGAAATTAAACTGGGCAAAGTGATTAAGGTTTATAAAAGTTATGGAACTAGAAAATCTGAAATTAAAGTATTAATATAAATTATATGAAATAAGAAAGTATTTATTACATGACAACATAAGAATGATAATGACTAGAGAATCAACTATATATAATCTGATTAAAAACAAAAAGAATTCTATCCTACTAACAAAAAAAGCAGGAGTTTATGAAATAGCTTTATTGTACAAATCTTAAAAGTTAGAGAGAAAATATAAAATGGTACTTATTGAACTGAAAGTCAACTGATCTACTTAGAAAAAGAAAAACTTCCTTTTCCAAACAAACACTAAGTAAAGATGTTGAAGTTAAATGAGCAGATGTCAAAATAGTCACACTTGTTACAAGAATCAAACCACTGAAGAGTATCATTGCATAAATAGAAATCATTAACCAAAGATGAGAAGGATTTTGATTTTCATTAAAATTATCAATTAAAAATGCTAAAATAAACTTTTAAATGTAATTGTTGTTAATTTCTATGAAAATTTATGACACAGTTATGTCATGAAAATTGTATCAAATTGCATCTAAGTAGTAGGACAAACAGAAAATATTATAAAACCAATAACATCACTTAACAATATTAGTGACTGTACAATTGTTAATATAATTCTTTTTGCGAATATATGATGTTTATAATACTTAATCTCTTTAAAATTGATAATGAAAAAGAATTTTTGAAAACAATGTTCATTATGTAGAACATTTAATTGAATATTGAAAGTTATATAAATGCATATTGGGCTTTAAGCTTCTCAAATTAGTACAGTTAGATTTACTGATAAAATCAAAAATGTTCCAAGATGTTAAGTTTTTACATTACTATAAATATTTTTACAGAAGTTTTGAGAATATTTATCTTTATTGTTGGTCCTAAAGCTAGGTTCTGAAAGACTCAAAATATCTTAACAAACAATAAATAAAAGAAACTCCTTGAAAAAGACCATAATATTTTAACTTTTTTAAATATAAATAATTAAGAATAGAACTAGAAATAAAGATATGATGGAATTTATGTTTTGGATAGCACTTCAATCAATCTCAATCTAGTTTGTGGCTTTAACAATCATGTTAATCATTAATTATTTTTGATTCAAACCACTAATCAACAAAAAGAATGACATTATATATATATATATATATAATGTCATTCTTTCTGTTCATTCTGTTTAATTGGGCCACTGGTTAATCGGAGCAGCTACTTTATTGGGCTAAATCTCAAAGAACGAAAACCAAATTATTAAATTAATACATAATCTAATCGCTTAATTGGGACAGTAGCAGAAAAGGAATTTAGCAATTTTTGAAATTTTAAAGATTTTCTGCAAATATGTAGACACTATTAATGTCGTGTAGGCTAAACAGTTAACAGAGACAAAGCAATTTTGTTTTTTGCTTGGGCAGTTGTTTTTCTGGAGTGGGTCTGAACAGTGGGATGTATCACACATGTTCTAACTAAAAAGGGAGAAAGGAAAAATTGTTCAATCAGGAATGAATTGAAATTTTACCTTTTGTGAACATCACTACTAATACTGTGCAGTCGACCCTCTATAACATGGTAGATACGTTCCGTTCTTTATGAAATTGATGTTCTAAGAGTCCTTAAATACATGAGCCAATCACAGCGTGGCACGTATGCAGTTTACAGACTACGGCAGTTTCAAAGGTTTTCTTTCATAAAATTAATCGATTCTACACTAATTCAACTCAACATTTCCAAAATACATATAATTTTTTGGGAATAATCCATATAAACTATGCTATAAACAAAAAATTGTAGGATTACTTACCGAGTGTGCACTGTTCGGCTATGCCATTGCTTAAGCTTGTTTTTGTCGTGGAGCTTGTCATTGAATGGCGCTCGTGTGCTTCCTGATAAATTCTTCTTTTTGCGAAAAATTTGCTGAACTTTGTAGACATCATTAATATAAATATAATTTTTATGGACGTTAAATAATAAATGGTTTTTAGTAGGTCCGCTGCTCATTTAAACTCAATGGTTTGTACAATATCTGCTATTGGTCTAGATTCAACCAATCCTGTTGAGACATGAGTCGGCCGTGACAATCTGTCTCATTCTTTTACCATGTTATACGAACCTCTTTTAGCATGTTATACGAACACGATCACAATTTTTTCACCATGTTATACGAATCTGTCTTATATGAACCTGTGTTATAGGGGGTTCTACTGTATATTTTTAAATTTTTAGGTCACAGTCAAAGTCATATGGAAGTTCTTTTAATTTATATTCCAAGTTTTCTTTAAAATTTAATCCAGTATTTCCATTTAGCTTTTCCAAATTCCATCTTTTTATTCTTTTGGCTCTCAAAACTTTTTTTCAATTTCATCACAATATCTGCAGTTAATAAGTTGTGATCAGAATCTGCATCTGCTCCTGGATATGTCTGAATTTTCTTGACTGCATTCCTAAAACGACTTTGAATAAGAATATAATCTATTTGATACCTTCCAATGTCTCCGGGCATTTTCCAAGTATATAGTCGACGTTTGGATTGTTTGAACCATGTGTTTCCAACTATTAATTGATGCTTGGTAGCAAATTCAACTAGTCGTTCGCCTCTTTCATTCCTATTTCCTAGCCCAAACTTGCCCACAAATTTTCCATCTCCTCCTTCTCCTACAGATGCATTCCAGTCTCCCATAACAATTAGGCATTTTTTAGTTTTATCATTTTCTATTACATCTTCAATTTGGTCATAAATTTCTTCTACTTCTTCATCGTCATAGTCTCCAGTAGGCATGTATACTTGAAATATCATCATGTCCATGGGATCGCTTTTTATTTTAATCATTAAAATTCTGTCACCTTTGCATTCAATTCTTTCAACTGAGTTTTTTACCTTCTCACCTAAAATAAACGCTACACCATTCTTTCCTTTAGTTCCACAAGAATAAATAACCCTGAATTCATCGCTAAAAAAATCACCGCTGTCTTCCCATCTGACTTCACTAAGCCCAAGAATATCCAAATTCTGCCTCTTCATTTCTCTCTTGACAGTTTCCAACTTACCTGGTCGAAGCATGGTTCTTACATTCCATGTTCCTATTCGAATTCTTCCTATGGAGGTCTTCCTATGGGGGTTTTGCATGGTGACGACCTGGGAAGCCCCATAACTTCCCCTGCCGGGCATGACACCTTT